GCCCGTGTTCGGTCAAGTGGGATTTGTGGTGGACAAAATGGCTCTGGGGAAGGTTTTCTCCCAGTACTTCGGTTTCCCCTGCCAATCTTCATTCCACCAACTGCTCCACAATCACCCTCACCTCTCATCTGGGGCTGGTACAATAGGCCAGAAGTGGCCGCAGTACAAGGGACTTAGTCCCATCCCAATAGCAATACAAAAAAATATAAAAAAGGCTAGGAATAAGTTGTTTCCACATTTCTGATCGCGTTAAAGTTTAATTTTTTTTTATTTTACACTCGTCTTTAGATTACAGACACAACCGAAGTTCTGTGGAAATCATTCTGCTTTCACTCTTGTTTCTTCCTCGACTTATTCTTTGATCCTGAAGATGGAAGCGATATTTTCTTTCGAAACGTCGATTGACATTCAACGGAATACACTGAATTATATCGCAGAAAATGGAGTTCTTCGTGTTGTATGGTCTTTTCGTTTAGGGCGCAAACTTGAGCCTGGAGAAATTTTATAATCAGCTTCGAAACTTTGTAAGTTAATCTTAATCATATTGTATCAAGCGGGATGAGCTGGGTCTGTTATTAAGCACAGAAGCAAGATTTAAGAAATGTATGTAATATTGTAGTCGGAAAACTTAAATGGAGATACACGTATGGATGACGTAATCATAACTAATTCATGGAGCCGAGCTCTTCTTGAGAAGCCGTTAATAATTGTTCATTACCGTGTTCACAAGAGCTCTCCTGTGGCCCCTTTCCTGAGCCAGATCAATCCAACTCATACCATTCCATCCTATCTCTAAGGTCCATTTAAACATTGTTCACCTATCCACGGTTTGGTGTTCCTAGTGGTCTCTTTCCTTCTGGATTGCCCGCCATTATTTTATATATATATCCCTCATTTCGCATTCTTGCTACATGCCCTGCCCATCTCGTCCTCCTTGACTTGATCATTTGGCGAAGAGTACATGTCATGAAGCTCCTCTCTGAGGCAATCCTAGATGGGAGAATAATATTAAAATGTTAAAGAAGTAGGGCGTATGAATATGTATTGCATTTAAATGGTAGAGAATAAGGTCTTGTGGAGGGCTTTTCCGAGAACGGTAATGAACTTTCAAGTTCCATAAGAAGCGCTTAATTTCTTGACAAGCTGAACGACTGTCAGTTTTCCCAGAAGGACTCTCCACCATGGAGTTATTCAGCTGTGCTTTGGAGTGCAGGTCCTTGGTATTGCGGCCACAAATGGATGAATGATGTCCTACCGTAATAAAGTGTTAAAGAGTAAGTTTGTAGGAGATAGTCATATCAGCTTTATGTTAATGTCAAAGCAGTTGCGTGAAGTACAGAGGGAAACTACTGAAACCTAGTACAAGGATAGCCCATCTCCAGACCGAGAATGGAACAAAAATTCTTCCGAATATGAAGAAGTGATAATTACATAACCGTCAAGCTGGGTCAGTATGTTATCACAGAATCTAAATGACTTATATATTTTTTTTCCTGTGGCGCTACAGCCCCAATTTGGGCCTAGGCCTACCTCCATGAAACTCTCCGTTTCACTTCGGTTTACTATATTTTAAACATTCGGGTGATCAGCTCGTCGCAAGGCTTCTACCTGTACACAAACACAGAAGAACGCACACAAACTAAACATCCATGCCCTGAGTAGGATTCGAACCCACGATCCCGGCTTCCGAACGAGCGAAGACAGTGCATGCCTTAGACCGCTCGGCTACCGTGACCGGCAAATGACATATACCCATCGCTAACCATCAGTAGAAAGTAAACCATGCGTATTATGGTTCCCGGGTTTCTTTGCCGTATCAGCAAGGATTCGTTCTAACCCCTATCCTGGGCCACATGAGCGTTCCATATCCTGAGACAACGAGCTAAGCGATACTTAGTGACGTCACGGAATCAGGCGGACATCTGTAATCTCACCCTGTCAAGCGACGACCCGCAGTGTTTCAGCACCCGACCTTTGGCTTGATGACATAAATATACGTGACTTGATGGCACTGCACGTTGGCAATACCGCAGTAGCGTGGAATTACATGCCTCAAGATATTGAAGTTAAAAATAACTGAGTTAAAGGAAAGCTACGTTTTGAGACAATAAGCCTGCCTATAATAAAAGCTTTAATTAAATTTGAAGATTACATTCTTCTATGTCTTGTCTTCTCATAAAGATTTAGCATATAGACCCGTTACTAGGTAACGATTGCAAACAAACAGTTTCCCAAGGCAACGAATCAGCACGGAACAACAAAAGAATTGTTGGAAGCTGCGTTTTCTGTGGTTCACGCCTTGACCGTTCTAAGCACTGGCGCTGTAAACATGTCTATGCAGCAACGATTTAATTATAACAGTAGAAGAGCTGTGTTTTTTACGTGGTCCGCGCTGAGGGTTTATAAATGGGACAAATTTAGAGCGTAGTTCAATAATGCAAAAGGAGGAAATTTAAATAACACGCTGTATGTGCGATACGTACTCTTGACAAAAGGCCATGCATATTAATAAGAGGCAAATCAGAGAGGATGTTACATAAGGATTAGGACCGCAAGGGTTCAGATGAAAAAAAAAAGTCTCTGGTCGTGAGTCTCAAGGGGTTGACGCCATTACGAACTGATTAGCGTTAAGTCGTAAAGTAACTTTGACTATATTCAACAGGATCAGCAGAGTGCTGTCCCGACACAACATCAAATCATTTGACCTGCCCCCAAAGAAAATATCTAATTTCCTCCGGCCTGTCAAGGATCACCTGGGACTGAGGACACCGGGAATTTACAGAATTCCATGCGAGTGCGGCAAGGTCTACATCGGCCAGACGGGCCGTTCTGTGGACAACAGGTTGAAAGAACATCAACGGCATATACGATTAGAACATCCGGACAAGTCAGCCGTAGCTGAACACAGCATCGAGCTAGACCACCGTATCCAGTTTCACAAAACCGCCATACTCACCTGTAAGAGCCGTTACCTAGATCGCATAATCCTGGAGGCCATTGAGATCGAGCTCCATCCGAACAACATGAACAAGGAAACAGGGTTCAGTCTCAACAAGTCATGGAAGCCTCTCATCTCTTCCCTCAAGAGAAATCCAACAAGCCACCCCAGTTCTTCGTCATGTCATTGACGTCAGTAGCCTGTCCCAAACCGACCGGTTCTTCTTGTCTACCGCGACTTCCTAGTGCTATTGACCTCAAGTTTCCTGGATTCACTGGCCGTTCCCCCCCCCCTCTCCCCTAGCGCACAACACCATATATGGTCTTAATCGCTCTCCACTGCTCCCATTGGTCCGTTCTCCCTAACCAACCCTCCTGCCTAATTCGTATATAAGCAGCGCCTTTCACATCCTATGACTACAACTAGTGCTCTCTGCATTCCAAGCCATTCAACTGCTCTGAAGATGGAGGCGCTACGTTCCTCCGAAACGTCGGCCAAAGCGAAGAATACACGGTGCCTAAACCCAGAAGACGACTTTCTTCATAGTCATCGCCGTGAAAACCTCAAGACTTACATAACTTTGACTTTGTTTAGTTTCGTCGTGGGATGTGTGCCAGACGGTAAGGTTATAAGCGGACAGTGTTAAAATCCGTTGCCAGGAAACGTCTAGTGAATACTGAGAAACCTTTATGTATTCTGTAGTTAACAGCGATATTTGGAGTGTTATAGTTATTTGTTGTTACGACCTGTAAGTGGTCAATAAATCCAAAATATCGAGTCTAAGTCCCCATCGAGAGTCACGTGACAATATCAACTATCTTTAGGTTAGAAGAATCGGTAAATATTTACCATACTGCACGGCGGCATATCATAGAAAGAAATCATTACAGTCACGCAGTAAGAATTTCAAAAATTACATTTAATACAATTCATTTTAGAGTAAATAAGTTTTCGAAGTCAGGATATTTTGACGCATTATGAATTTTATCGTAGTACAAGTATATAATGAGAAAATTGTCTGGGTTAGCTCATTCGATATCGATAGTATCGGGCTGGACGGCCTGGGTTCTATTCCTGGAAAGGTGATTTCCTTCTTTTCAGAGCCTCCAGGCCGATTTTGAGGCCCACGTAGTTTCCTATTCAGCGCATGCCAGGGAATCTTTCCCTGGGGTTAAAGCGGCAAGGGCGTGAAGGTGATCAGTCATGTACATCCAGTGCCGAGGCCAAGAATGGTAGAGGTGTACCCTCACTGTCTCAAACATGTTCATGGCGTGGTGATTAATTACTCAGGTACAGGACAATTTTGCCTTTATATAACTAGAAATACTTCTACCATAGGAACCTAACGCGTATTTCAAAATGGGAATTATTTTTGCATCTATAACAAGACACTGTATGGGTGTGAAACTTGGTCTCTGACATTAAGGGAGGAACATAGACTGAGGGTGTTTGAGAACAGGGTGTTGAGGAGAATATTTTGACCGAAGAGAGATGAAGTGACAGCAGGTTGCAGAAAACTGCATAATGTGGAGCTCCATAACTTGTAATCTTTTCCAAGTATAATTAGAATGATCAAGTAAAGGAGGATGAGGTGGGCAGGGCATGTAGCACGAATGGAGGAGACGAGGAATGCGTGTATGATATTGGTGGGAAAGCCAGAAGGAAAGAGACCGCTGGGAAGACCAAGGCGTAGGTGGGTGGACAATAATAAATGGATCTTAGAGAGATAGGATGGGATAATATTGATTGGATTGATCTGGCTCAGGATAGGGACCGGTGGAGGGCTCTTGTGAACACAGTAATGAACCTTCGGATTCCATAAAATGCTGGGAAATTCTAGAGTAGCTGCAGAATTGGTAGCTCCTCCAGAAGGGCTCAGCTCCATGAGTGATTTAATTTGTAAAAAGACAACAATATTTGGATTTAAAATTCCTTGGCGATCAGTTATGTGGAAAATTAAAAAGAAATGAATTAAAAATGAGAACAAAAAATGTGTCCCAATAATCTGTGTTAAGTAGTATGTGCAGAAGTAAGATGGTGTTTTCCATGATCGTCTACTTACCAAGTGACATACGCTCGCTCACCCCAGGGCTTGATGAAGGTCGCCCAGCAGTCATAAACATCTGGCCCCACTTCCTGGTATGAGAACACTACCACCTGCAAGTACACAATGGAAAAAAAGAGCAATTCCACACGCTTAATTCGAATTCTGAAAAGCTTACGAAAAGACTTAATCCTATAGTAAGGAACATACATAGGTCGCTCCGTAGCCCAAGCATTTAGTCACTGGCTTCCAACCGCGGCGGTCCGGGTTCAAGCTCGGATCTGGTCAAGTGGGATTTGTGGTGGACAAAGTGGCTCTGGCTTAGGTTTTCTCCGAGTACTTCGGGTTCCCCTGCCAATCTTCATTCCACCAAATTCTCCATCATGATGATCACCCGGGACAGGTACAATAGGCGAATCAGTGGCCGCCATGCCGAGTGGACCCAACTGGATTGCACCCCCCCCACTATGCGAAATGCGAAGGAACTGACATCAAAATACGAAACTCTTTGCAATTTATAACTCTTATTTGAACAATTTTTGTATTTGTTATATATTTAATGAGTTAATCATAGAAATATTATTCCTGTCATTAGCTGAAACATCATGATATGCCCTTTATATTCCAACATTATGCATTATATATTATATATACGTAGCCGGTCATAATAGTCGCGCTGACTAAGGCACGTGCTGTCTTCGCCTGCTCGGATGCTGGGATTGTGGCTTCGAATCCTACTCAGGGCATATTTGGTGAGTGTATTTGTTTATTCTGTGTTTGTGTTGTCCTGATCACAGTCCAAGGAGCCCTACCGTCTGTGAAAAATGATTACGGAACTGAATAAGAGGCCATGGGCCTGAATGGGCTGGAAGAGCCATTGAAAAAAATATATACGTAACCTTTAAGGCCTGGATAGTGCACTCTATATATGTTTCGCCCCTTGCTTGTGCACCGTTCTCTGCACCAGCGTATGGTGTTGTCCTCTCTTGTATTAAATACGATTGTAATGGAATTTTAAAATAAAGGATGGAACGCCTCTGTGGTCTAGTGGTCAGAGTTCCTGCCTACAGATCCAGAGATCCGGGTTCAGTTCCCGGCGTTTACCATATTTTCTGAGAAGTACTGGGTCCACTCAACAACGTGAGGATAATTGAGGAGTTATTTTAAGGAAATAGCGGCTCTGGTCTGGAAAACCGAGATTAACGGCCGTGGTAATTCGTTGCGCGACCATGCGACACTTCACCGACAAGCGGCGGTCGCTCAGTCGGTATGGTTCGCTTGCGGACTACAGGCCACGGGTTTCTAAAATAAAGGAGAGACTGTGAACAGTTTCATGTTGAATTAGAGACGGGAAAGAGTGATACATCAATGCAACTGGATACTGAAATATAATATGAATATGGAGCAGTTTTGGGGACGAGAATTGGCAGAGGAAATTGAAGTACTAGAAATAAATCCACCCCACTGCGACTTTACCCACAAGGTTTTATTTTAATTACATTGGAATACTTATAGTTCCTTCCTTAAAGTTTTAGCTGCTAACTGTATTTTATGATAGTGACAAAGGGAGGTAAAATTCAGGCAGAAGTACGGGTACTTCTTTTTGTAGTTTATAAATGTTTATAGAACATGGTCCATCGGAATCGAACCAGTTGAAACCGTTCCTGTCATCGCTTCACATACTTTCTGCAGCAAGTGAGGCAGTTATGGAACTAATAGAATTATGCATATACGTTTATATCATGCTTAAAGCCTTCTGTTATTGAGCATGATAGACTACGCGTTAGAGTCTGATGCCGTATTGCGTTGACATAGACTCACTGGAATGTACGTGTCATAATAGAAACAAACTGTGAAATCCAATGGGAAATTATTAGCATGAAACAAAGTTCAAAGTTCATGCATATGGAGGGAGATTTTCAACAAAAAATTATTTAATATGAATGATCTAAATGCGGCAGACCAATCCTGATATAGTTCAGTTAAAATTCAATTTTACTGTAAACAAATTAGATCGAAGGCATTTGAATTAACTGGTCCGATAGTTTCAGGGCATATTGTATTTAAAATGGCGTGGCAAACGGTTAGCTTATGGTGTCTCAAATTACGGGTATCGATTTTCCAGGAGGCCGTGAAATGTTCTGAAGGAACTCGTCTGTTGCACAAGAATTATATCATATAGTTATATCCAAGCATAGCGGCCTCCGTAGTCTAGAGGTAACGTTCCCACCTCATGACTCGTAGTACGCGGGTTCAAATACCCGGCGGAGGTCGTCGAATTTTTAAGGGCGGAAAAATTCAGGGAACAAGTCCTCCGGGACGGACTTTAAGCCGTGGGTCCCGTGTTGTAGCTTTACGGCACGTAAAAGAACCTCATATCTTCAAAGGAGGTCACTGAGCCAAATTTCAGGACGTTACCCGCCCGACAATAGTCTCTAAGGCCTCTGATAGATGGGGGAAGCATTATAGACACCGCTAAGCAAGTGGCCGAACTCGCTTGCTCGGCGGGACTGATGGTACGCACCATTTATCGGTAGGGTAAAGAGACTGGTAGAATATCATAGAGGGAAGCACAATAGATCAAACTGGTCGCGGTGCATGGGGAAGCCCACCCTCTCTAAATAAGTAAACTAAAAGAGTCTGTAAGACTTAACATAGATAAAGGTAAAGTTTTCTCTTTGCTTAGCTAATTAAGCACTACACCATGGAGACGTATGTGGCAGTGGATGTATAGATCCACGTTTTCTTGACGTCGGCACTAGTTTGAGGTGAGTGGTCAGCTTAGAGTAGGAAGCATGGAATAATTCTGAGCTTATTTTATGTCGGAAGTAAAACTTCAGGGTCCATAACTACTGATCATCTCTCGATTAATTGCAAATGATCTACTATAACTGTGATTTGTCGTATGTACACGCACCTAGAATCATCCGCGTGGGCCCTTAAACTGGATCACCCTTTATTCAGCAACATCTTAATTAAGAGTGTGTGCTGCGAAAGCGGAAATTGCTGTACTATCTACTGAATTAGAAATACAACATAATAATTGGTGTCAAGTTGATGAACTACCGTACAGAAAATTTATTACAGATTAGGTAATAGACGTGTTGAGCGTGTGTACCTTAGCTTCATTGCAATTATTAACGTCCTTTCGCTTCTAAGGAGGGATAGGTTTGTAAGGTCACAGTGTTCCCGCGAGCGTGTGTTTATATTGCTCTTATGAAGTTCTGAAAACAGTTGACGGAAATATGTATAACTTCTGTAAGATTTGAGGTTTTCACGGCGGTGACTATGAAAAAAGCCGTCTTCTGGGATTTGGCGCCATGTATATATTGTGTTAACTGAAGTTTCGGAGCAGCGTATCGCCTCAATCTTCAGGGTAGAAGAAAAAAGAAAATCCGCGAGCGAGGAACCAGCGTGAGGTGCTGACACACTAATATCGGATTTTCTTTTTTACACGGTGCCACATCCTAGAAGACGGCTTTCTTCATGTGTAACTCCTGTCAGATTCGATCCGTGGATCTCCGTAACAAGCACGGAAGTGATAACGACCACACAGAGAGACCTCAGTCTGTTTTAGTCTTAAAGTACTGTGGTTACTATAACTACCATATTTTTTTTTACCTTGGTACTACAGCCCCAGTGGGCCTAGGCCTACCTCCATGAACTCCGTTCACTTCGGTTCTTCTAGATCTTACACATTCGGTAGGACTCCTTGGGCGAGTGATCAGCTCGTCGCAAGGCCTCTACCTGTACACAAAGACAGAAAAACGCACACAAACATCCATGCCCTGAGTGGGATTCGAACCCACGATCCCGGCTTCCGAGCGAGCGAAGACAGTGCATGCCTTAGACCGCTCGGCTACCGTGACCGGCATAACTACCATATACCACCTGCTTTAATAATAAAAACTGCATTTTGTACACAGATCATGTTTTTACGAGCTGCATACTATTTTCAGAATAAGCAGATTTCTGTAAACAGCATTAACGCGTTTGTCTTTGTAGTTTATGGCTGTCCAAAGAAATATTCTTCTGTGTAAGTTTACAACAAAGTTAGATGGTGTACCATACATCCTGCACACGGAAATATGTATAAACCCACAGTAAGTCACACGAGTGCTGTAAACGCGTACATCAGGCTTTCTGCTGGCTTTGGCATATCAGAAATCTTCAGAGTCTTCGATATAGCACGCCCAAAAATCATCCAAGTACAACCTGGGCCTATTCTACCTTGAACACTTAGAGGACTTGCCCCTCAAATTAGACTTGAGGAATGTTCCTAACAGAAGAACTCATCTAATTCAAAGTAGGTTTTTATTAGAACATTCAGTCATCCCATCGCCTTCTTTGCCGTCTGATTAGTAATTATTCATTTCTGTCTCAGAATTAATGAATCCCAACTTAAGATAATGTGGCTTATAGACCCGTTGCTAAGCAGCGACTCTGTAAACAGCGGCCGTTGCTAGATAACACTCGCAACATATACTCGCGTAACAGTAGAACAATGGGGTTATGCAACCTGTTTCTAAGCAACGGATCGGTAAATACGCCTACAGCAATGGGAGTATTGTTGGAAACGGTGTTTGCTATTCGGTCCATGCCAAGTGGTTATAAAGAATAGTTCAGTTGAGGATCGACAGTCGAGTTCCAGAGCTCCAAGTGAGCAGTTAGTCGCGAGTTGGGCTCTGCAAGGGAGGCTGAGAAGATGGCGCTGTGAGTTCAGGTGTGGAGTGTTAATCAGCGGGCAACGGAGTGACCACGGAAACTGAAGAATCACCACTGCGTTAAATCTGTTGCCAGGAAACGGCTAGTGGAGAGTGTAATGGACTGAGGAGAGTAGACAGTGTGTCAGTGATCTGTAAAATGTAGTTCCGAGTGGTATACACATGTGGTCAGTAAATCCAAATCACCAATCCATATCCCCGCCGGTCACGGTAGCCGAGCGGTCTAAGGCATGTACTGTCTTCGCTTGCTTGGAAACCGCGATCGTGGGTTCGAATCCTACTCAGGACATTGATGTTTAGTTTGTGTGTGTTCGTTTTTCTGTGTTTGTCTACAGGTAGAGGCCTTGCGACGAGCTGATCACCCGCCCAAGGAGTCCTACCGAATGTGT